TATGAATATTCTTGTATGTGTAAAGTTAACTGAAAAAACAAAAGACTTAAGCAACAAACTTGCTCATATGGCTTCACTTCCTTTCCTTTGTGTTTATTATAGCGTACATACTCGCTTGAGTGCTTTTGAATATTGTAAGCTCTTCCTTCTTGGATGCTCAAGGTCACTCATAGGTATTAAATATTGCATGCTTTTGCTATTACAAGTTTGGAGTGCGTTTCACACATACATTTAGACAGTCCTGCATACATTTCTTTCATTTCAAAAATACTTCAAAAAATTTTAAAGATGATTTAAAAAAAAACCAACAAATAATTTTAAAAAATTATTGTTATATAAATTAGACATGCCAGATTTTAGTCGAAAAATTTTATCTCGGCAACTTACTATTCATTTCGTAGCCACTTGCCAAGCGTGCAAGGCAGCTTACTAGCGTGATTAACCACAAGTATCTCTTGCAAAACATTGCTTTATTTAAATTTAAATATCTGTTTATTTTTTTCTTCACTTTTTTCCAAAGCACAGTTCTTAAGTTCCACTATAATGGTAATTTCCACTTTCATATAATTATTTTTTATTCTTTATATTTCCAATATTTGCACACACATTTCAACACTTCCTTTTACTTTCACAATTAATTCACCATCCTAAATTCGTGTGGTTTTATTTAAAAGTCAGGGAAGCGTGACCGCGTGCTTCGGCTGTTACAAAAGGAATGAGCGCACAAGATGAGTCAACAACTTTCATCTAGCTAGGGTTGGTTGCGTACTGGCGATTCTAGTCAAGTCGTTCTTACATAAATACAGACATACAGACATATTTATGGACATCGAGGCAGTTGATATTGCTGGCGAAAATATTACACGCCGCAACTGTTTGTGTCTTCTTGTACTGTTACTAATCATACTATACTATTGATTGGTGGCAAAGCGGATTAATAATCATGCGTAAGGCTTTTATGAAAGCCAAAATAAAAAATAGGCACGTTTTGGTTTTTAGTGCTGGTTTGTATTTTCCCATATCTGATTCAAAACTAAAAACGTAATTAAGCAAACTAGTTGGAGTATATACATACAAGTAAGAATTAGTTTAGTTTTTACATAATTTTGCTTTAAAATAAAAAAGTTGTTTTGGTTCTTAGGCCCTTATTTACTATGAAAAAAAGGGAAAACGTTAACTTCGGCTGCACCGAAACTCTAATACCCTTCACAGGTGCATTTTTTATAGCATAAAAGGTAAAATCTGATCTTTATTCTGATTTTGATCGTTAAGTTTGTATGACACCTATATGCTATATTTGTTCGATATCGGCGTTTCCGACAAATGAGCAACTCCTTCGTAAATTGGACTACAACCACGCCTAACATACTACTTCCCATATAACACAATTTTAGATACCATGTGTCAATGTACGAATAATGGGTTTAAAGTGTGCCACCTTATGATCAAAAATTGTCCAAATCGAATCAAAACTGTTCCAGTCCTTAGGTATCGAATACGTGGACCCCAATGCCTATATTTGACTTTTTACCGAAAATATCGGTCAAAGTGTAAGTAAAGTAATATAGAATTGAAATTCTGAGAGGATCATTTTCTTGTCTGTATGTCAAAAATGGGTTGAATCGGGTCAATACTCGTACTGCCCTTAACCCCCATAGACCTAATATAAAGATATTTGAACTGCCGGGTGACTTTATACCGCATATATCGGCCAATATGATAGTTATATCAATGAAAATTTGAGAGCTGATATCAGGGTTTTCGAACAGCCGGTTGACTTTACTACATGTGATTGGTGATAGTATGTGAGGTACCTGAATGAAACCCTGGGATGTGTTACTGGCAAAAATTGATAAAATTTGGTCAAAACTACCCCCAACTCCTATATACTACATATAATGATATACGTTTTATTTATATATATATAAAATTGCTTCAAAATATGTTCTCGAGTGGATCGGAGCAATGTCAAAATTAATACAATCATCCCGTAACTTTCTATATCGTCTAAATACCCCGTAAAATGATTTCCGTGTTTCCATCTGCCTTTAAACCGTTTAGGTTGGTCAAAATGTCTGATATTTTAGTGAAATTAAGTGGATAAGTTCCCTTAAAAGTTATGTGGTTTAGCTCTGAATTACAATGGAATTGGTCTATACCTTGCTCTAAACCTCATATCCCTAAAATTATTAATTTCGAAATTCTGGTTGGCGTTTTCCACATCAACTCAATATATGGTATATTAAATTTAGCCTCTTCGGTCGAGTTAATATCACATACATACATATGTATATCTTATTTGAAGGTGTTTTTAATATAATTTTAGCTGACGCGAATTTAAATATAGCTATAAAACTAGCCCTAAGTTTATTGCCTTCAATATAAAACAAGAATATACCAAGTTTGATTGTACAATAATTTATTCACGATTTCATTGTATAATGAATGTTTAATTGATTCGCAACATTTTTTGATATAATTTGCCAGGACACACATATTTTTCCTAGAACACACTGCTGTAATACGCGTAATCGGATGGCAACCACGCCTAATTCCCATATAACAAACTTTTAAATTCCGTCTGATTCTTTCACTTTACAGTATACAAATCAAACATCAATAAATTTATCAGCGTAAAACTCTGCACTCAGTGCACACAAGGTATTTCATCTTACGTCGAAGTCGCACTATAACTTGTGCCGAAAATGGGTAAAAGCCTCCCATATACCTAAAATAAATATTTTCGAACCGCCGATTCACTTTATACCGCATCTATCGGTCAATATGTAAGAAATCTTAATGAAATTCAGAAAGAATTTTTTTCTAATAACAGTGCACCCCCTTCTTTAAATGAATGAAATCATGGCGATACTTTCCTTAGTTTGACATAAAGTTTTGCCAAAACCTGTAGGTGTTCCTCCGCCTTTGTTCCTTGCAAGTTGCAAGAGTATGAAATGCTCGGTTACACCCGAACTTAACCCGGCCTTACTTGTTTTTTTTTTTTTACTTTGTTTTCATTGCTCTTTCGTTCTCAACGAGATTTGCTTCAAAGCGTTCAATATAATTGAATTTTGCGACGTAATTTTTTTCCGTCCTGTAAAATTCTGCTTTCATAGTAATAATTTGCAATTTCGTTAAGTAGATGTGTATGCCAGTGTATTCGTTTCTACTAATAATGATTCGTTTTCGCCTAGATTAATTGGGAACATTCATCTATTGGTGTGGGATAATTGACAACCGGTTAAGACTTTTTTTTATAGTTTTTGAGGATCCTACATTATATACATACAGTTATTGTTCTTTATTGTTGTTGTTATTTCTTTATAAATCAAGGTTATCCCCGCTGAAATAAGCCATCGTTATAAAATTGTATTTCTAGTCAATTTACCTGTTATAAATTAGCTGGGTCCTAATTACCTCCCTGTATTGAACATTCATTAAATTTTTTTTTATAATATAAAATAAATTACTCACATGCTAAGTGCCATTTGATTTTTCAAATAAAAGGTGTGTATACTCCATATTCTTTTATATACTATTATATTTGTGTTTTATTATACTCTTGCAACATGTTGCTACAGAAAATAATGTGTATACACTGTATACACGCGTTTCTTGGCAAAAAAAAAACCTATAAATTGCCATAACTAAGCACTAAATTAAGTTATAGAACTGTAATTTGGCACAGGAGATCACAGTAACAAGTGGTACTTGTGGGCTAAAAATGTATGTAGGCCCCGCCCTCTAAGAAGTTCAATGTACATATCGCCTAAACCACTTAAGGTACAACAACCAAATTCGCTTAATACAATACGAATACTGTAAAAATTAATGAATTGCGAAATCGGACTAGAACCACGCCTACTTCCCATGTAACACAATTTTAAATTCCATCTGTTTGAAAGTATGAAATCTTCGGTTACACAATTTGCCAAAGCGAATACATATTTTATGTGAAAAATAAAGAAAAGAAAAAGTACACAGTTTGGAAATTTTTAAAATGAGATGCTGATGAAACATTGCCTGCACAACAATCAATCGACTTGTTTACAAAACATTAACCTTGTGTTGAGTCGAACCTCTTGAGGTCTAAACCGTTGATTTTTCAAAGTAGTCGAAATTTTACTGATTACATTGGATCACTTTTTTATGCTATTTAGACACTAGTTCCCATTTTTAAGTGGTTCTACCACCTACCACATACAACACTTTAGTCGAATCGAATATAGTTTTATGACAAAAACTCTGTAATTTTGTATATAAACTGCTTTATCATAATTCTCTTTGTATGATTTACCAAATTTCGCTTAAATTAGTTACAAATTTAGTGTATTAAAACAAGTTTTGAAAACTAAAAAGTTGCTAAACAAGAATAATTATCTGTTCATACATATTTCATTGATAAACTAGATTCAAAGTGCTGAAATATTCAGCTTATTCAGTTATTTCATGTTTCACACACGCATGTTTCGGCAGCTACGTTTTCCTGTTTTTTTTTTTTTGTTTTTTTGTTATGGTGAATCAGCGTTTTTTGAAGAGCCTATTTTTATAATATATTCTAGTAAATTATATTTAATGGTCTGTTGATATTTTGCAAAGGTAATGTATCAATAAAGTGACGGCTGGCTTCGTGAATATTTAAATTTTAATTTCTGTTTTGTTATTTACCTAAAAAGATTTCTTAACACTTTTCAAACGATTAAACTGATTGAGTCATGCCTGATTGTAAGTTTTAAATGTCTTTAAACAACTCTATTTTGAGCCGTTCTCAGAGCCTCTCGAGAATAAAAGTTTTAGTTGAAGAAAGTCATAAAAATGGCGTAGAAGTTACGCTTTCAGAAGAACTACAATAATTACTAATTCAGCAACCTTGAAAGCTATTCAAACTAGTTTATGCGACAAACTTCAATTGGTTACACTTTTGTCATGCTATAGAAATAACTACTATGTACCATATATCGATAAATTGATCACCTTTATACCTGCTACATTTATTGCAGCCACCTTGAGGGGCTTATTCGTCTCTCACAAGCACGTGCGCGTGTCGATTTCTCCGAAGAAGTTACGAAACTTCACGTACGTGACGTTCTCTGCATCGTACGACACAGTATAGCTGATACTACGTTGAGTGATTATGTCGATAGAAATCCAGCCACGGCGACCGCGCCCACTAGTCAACGGGGTATGGTGAAAAAGTTCATACAAATGCTGCAGTTACGTTCCAGTGCATTGGGGAGGCGAATATTCGACTACGACGAAATAAAGGATATGGCGGGACGAGCCGGTATCTCGTGTGGCGTCAGCAATTTAGTGGATATCGTGAATCTACAAGGATACCTGCTAAAGAAAGCGCCAAATATGTACGAAGTGATGATCGATTAGTTGGAGAGATGAATACAATGTGTATTATATAGTCAATATTTAGTTTATGTATGTACATGTAAATATATTGTAAGAATACGATAATTTTTTTTTTAGTTTTCTCTATCATTGTGTATATGAAAACAATTTGATGTAAAATTTTCTTTTAGCAAAATATCGAGTTAATGTTAACGCCATGTTCAGACAAGTTAGTTGAGACAAATAAGTTGAAGATAAAGTGACTGGATTCTCAAGTTTCATCTGAATTTGTAACATTTGACAGCTGGCGACAAAGAATCGCTCGATTTTTTGATCCTAACAATTTCATTCCACAGCAGATGATTTTCTTTTTGGTTTGCAAGAGCTTCACAGGCTTGCATCGGAACCTTTAACCAGTTTAATTGTCAGTTCAGTTCTAATTGTCAATTCATTTTTTTTTTTTTGACAAATTGAGTCGCAATTACTAGTATTAAGTTTTAATTGGCTATATTTTTCTTAACTATCAAAGATCGGAACGATTGGAATGGAAAGCTTGTATGGAAAGCTTTTTCATTTGATGTGATGTTTTCCGCAATTCGACATAGGTTATCATCTAAGGCCATAATGCAATCTTCGAAGAAATTATTCAGATCGGACTACTATAGCGTATAGCTGCCATACAAACTGAACGATCGGAAAAAGTGCTTGTATATAAAGCTTTTTCATTTGACGAAATATCTTCAAGAAATTTGACATGGATTATTGCCTTAGGTAATGGTGCGATTTCCGAAGTATTTGTTTAGATCGAACCACTGCAGCATATAGCTGCCATACAAACTGAACGATCGGAATGCATGCAAGAAATCTTTGGTATTTGTAAAGGGTATTACAGTCCATGGCCGGTATAAATTTAGCTGCGTTCCATTCAAAAAATTGAAAATTACTGAAAAAAAATTTTAAATATTTCTTCATAAAGTAAATACCAATTTTTTAGTTTTTTAATATATTTTGGAAATACATACATATATATTCTCCGTGATTTTTAATTGGCATACAATACCAACTTATCAATGCATTCCTTTTCATAAACATTACACATGTGAATAATAATTTATTTTACTTAATAGTAAGAGTACAATGTCTTTTATGCTACATCATTTTAAATTAACTATTCAATAACCACATTCGCTACTAGTGTATGTATAATTCTAGGCATTCATTATAGTAACTACAATTCATACATTTCTTTACCACAACGTCTGCTCCGACGAACATATATCGTTCGGTTTTTTTTTTCATTAATACTTAACATTTCATTGTTAATTCTTAATACTAATTTATATTTCATTTCGAAAATTTGTGATAATATTGTGTATTAACTTGTTCGTACATATTTTTTCTTTAAATAATTACAACATTCGGTGCATTGAATTGTGTACGTGATTTAGCAATTTTATACGCGTTATTATTTTTTTTTTTTTTTTTTTTTAGGTTGTAATAACTTGCAATAACTGTATATACTAAAATCATTTTATATTATTTTACTTATTTTATTTTTACCCATTGTACAGTGGTTTAAAAATTAAAGTGCTTACTACAGTAAGGCCTAGCTATAGATGTATACTAATAGTGGTTAGTGTCTACTTATGCTCTTTTTCAAATTCCATAAACTAAAATTGTGAAACGTATATAAAGAATCCTACGCTTCAACCGGAGTTACAAAAAAAAAAAAAATATGTATATATATTTATATATATATATATATATATATATATTATATATTATTATATATATTTATATAAATAAATTAGATAAATGTTTCTTACATCTTCATTGAGTATGAAAGCAAATAACTCAGAATAATGCTGGCCTAGTTTCTGACTTGAAACGAAAATTTGTTTACAACGCGGTGTTTCAACTGAATAAATCCACTAATTTTGTGCACTTAACAAAAATAAAAAACTTTTTAACCATATAAATGTAATTTCACATCTTTTTTGTAACCTGGATCCGGTTAAATTTTTATATATAAACAAATGTATTTGTGAATATTTGTAAAATTTTGTCCATTTCAAGATTTTGGTTAGCGTTTTTATATTTATATATACTTGTATGTATTTATACTTAGTAGTGATTTAGTGTGTCTGTGACGATTAAATCCGCTAGATGGCGTTGTCAAAAAAAAAATTCGTTTATGCGAGGTCAGCGTGTAATAACAAACAAATTTGGTAGATTTGTGAAAAACTGTCCCGTTAGGCTGCAGTTATGCTCCGATTTGTTTCATAGCATAGCTTTCGTACATGTGCAATGGTAATATTTAACAGTTTAGTTCATATTTTATAATTTATAAAATGCACAAAATTGGAGGGTTTAGTTTGAGCTGCTTAAAAATGTTTATGAGAATCACATTGCAGTTTCGAGAGTGTCTCTTATAAAGCTTCAAACAAAAATAGGTGTATTTTTATTTAACTATTTCATTATTTGTTTAGTATGCGGACATAAAAATATTTGTTCATAAAAATAAGCTTAAATTTGATCTTATATTATATTTCCATTTACAGATTCAAAATAATAATGATCGAAATAATTTGCATTATTAATATGAAATGTTGTGGTGGCGAGGTTGTTTGCTTAACATATGCAGATTTTGTGTTTTTAAATAAACTACCCTGTTGCAATAATTATATAATAAAAAAAAATGTTTTACATAAATAAAAATTTAAATTTGAATCTATATTTCACCACTTATATTTACACATATGCACTAACCAACGTTACATAACACATAAATTAACAAAAAAAAAATTATATATAATACTTATATATAAAAATAAAGATTAATTTATTTTAATTGTACATTTATGCTATTCAGTCTGAAAAGAAACGGAAAAACAGTTACATATTTTTGTTTCATTGTTTCATTCAAACAAAATAAATTATTATGAATTTTGCCGATTGTTTTCTTCAAGTCCGCAAATTTTTCTTTCTACCGCGCTAATTATTTAATTAAAAGCGCTGCCAAATATTCGATATAAAAATCTAAGCTTATTGCATACATAGACATATTCGATGATTTAAATTGAACTAATTTCATACATTAAATTTTTGCGTCGAAATTTTGATTATACTACAGGGTGGCGCGCAAATCGTGCTACAAAAACAAACCGTAATAACTTTTTTTCTGTGTGAGTAATCGACTTCTTTTTTTTTTATTTGACAGATTATTATTTAAATTTTTTAAAAATTAATGCTTGTTATACCGAAATAAGGATAGTGCAGCAGTAGCATGCTTTGTAGTTGGTCCAAAGGGAATTCCGCAGGGATTTTGGCGGCACGCCCTCGAGTAGATGGACCATTATGAGGTTGGTAAACATGGAACAAAAAAGAGTTGTCGCATATGCGTAGCTGAGCATGATCATTTGCGGTCCATAATTTTTAAAAATAATTAATTATATAAAATAAAATAATGCTATACAAAAAAAAAAAAAAAAAAAATGTAGTGTATAGATTAAAAAAAAAGTTATTACGGTTTGTTTTTGCAGCACGATTCGTGCGCCACCCTGTATTATTACTCCAATCTGCACTTTTGTATAATCCAAGCACAGTAACGACATTTTAGCAATACAGTTATAATAGTTTTATGTTGCAAACAATTCGGTTTAAAGTTAGAGAAAATTTTTGCGGGAAAAAAAGATTTCGCTGAAAAGAATTTACTCGATTTTGGACTTATGTGGGTGGCTTCAAGTAAAGCTTATTTTAATGCTTGTAGTTGTGTTTTTAAACAGGTTATTTAACAACTTTACTTTAATTGAAGTCGAAATCTTTAGTTAGCCACAGTGTATGGAATTTTGACATTTCTCTAAGAGCGCGCTAAGCCATCATTCAGTCATGGACGCATTCAAACTGAAGCAGCGCCAAATAAAGTAAGCAACGCCAGTGGCCTTATAATTGAGAAGAAATTTTTTTGCAGCAGTTCTTGTTGTTAAGCGCTTTACCGTTACCAATACAATATAAAATTATTTTCTTTACCTGACTTAAGCTGCTCTTTCATTAAACTACAAATTTATTTAAGTAAAATGCAATACATTAATGACAATGAAACAAAAAAAAAAAGAGCAATAATCAGTTGTCAGTGCATAACTACATTCCATTACCTTCATAAATACTTACTAAGTATAGTGTCTTGAAATGTTTTTGTTTGAACTTATGCCTAAACACGATTAACTGCTAAACTTAATTAGAGTGCAGAGCGTGCATTTCGCTAAAATTAACTATTAAGTTCTTCTTAGTATTTAAGCTTTATAACTGTATTGTATTCTATATAAATATAGATATACATAGATAATGACTTTCGACTGTTATTTAAATATATATATATATATTTTTTTTTTTTAACATTCAAAGTTTGTCTTTAATGCTGAAATGCTGCTTACTATTTTATTTATAAATATTTAAAAACTAAGCGCTGCCTGAGTAAATGAAATAATATTAGCTTGTGTTTAAAGGAAAAAAGTATACCCAGTATGACTTAGCATATTTTATATAATAAGGAAATTATTATGTTATAAATATATGAATTTCAAATCAATAAGTTCCCTAAAAAAATATCAGCTGGTAATAAAAGATATTTATTATATAATATTACAATTAAACTATTTATTTGAAAGTAATGCAAAAATACTGGTGTCTTTTCTTTGACTTGGTACGAAAGCACAAAATACGAAAGTAGCGAGGGACCGTTTAACAGATAGCTGTGTAAGCTACGATAAAGCTTTTTACGAACGGTTTTATGTTTTAAATTAATATATAAATTTGTAGTCACATTGATCAAGTTTGCACTATAACGGTGTATAATAATGAAATACTTTTGTTAGAATTCAACTATTTCAGTCGCTTTATGTTGTTTGTGTAAAATGATTCGTTATATTGTTAAAATATTTCACTAAACTATTGTAAGCGTATGAGAGAAATTATATAGTTTAGATATATAATTTTAAGCTGTTGGAATGGTAGTGGCTTTAACTGTGCTACTGCGTTTGCAAGTGTTTAAAAGGTCAACAAAGTAGTACTATGAAATCGCATTGTATTGCTAAGCAAAATAAATAATTGATTAAAAAAAGAACGATTTTGTAATATTGTACAGTTTTTGTTTGAAATTAATAGTTTTAATTTCTGAAATTTGTTTACTTCAATTAGCAATACAATGCAACAAATGTGCTTCTGAAACCTAGTTGTTGTTTTTGTTCGTTTTGTTATAAGTAGAAAAATGGCGAAGGCAGTTTTGTATACAATGTTGAATGGAAATGTGATTTGCGTGAGCCTTTCTGTAAATTTCCGATAGTAATTTACTAAAAAAAAAAAACATAATTAATAATTACACATATTATATTCACATACATACAAACACAAAGCATTAAATACGAAACACAAACGGTTGCATGCCAAAAAGTTTCGTTAAAATTATGCGCTAACATCATACAACTTAAATTTTAGCTGACATTTTCACAAACATACAACAAAAAACGAAGAAAAATAATAATAATAATAATAATAAATAAATAAAGTAATAATAAATTAACTAATTTGTAATTTAAAATTTGAACGTCACATTAAAAGTGCGCATTTCCATGGGATTTAATGTGATATCGGCAAACGATTTCAGTCGCTTGCGTTCGCCCTCATGCAGCGTACCGGTCAAACTTGTCGTCTCCAAACGCGCTATATGCAATCTATTGAAACCCACCGGTCCCAGACCGCTCGCCGATGCAGCACACACACGTGTTATATCGATATTTTGACCAATGGCACAATCATAACCCTGACGCTGCAGCACCATCAGTGCCGATGTCGATGGGAAGAGCTGTAGCTGCTCTTCGGAGAGTGCGCGCAAATTTAACAGATGTACATCACATGGCAGCGCACCATGATCGAGCAATACGGCCTTCGGTTTCAGTTGCACAGCCGGCGCATCAAATGTCTCTACAAAGTAGAGGTTCGGTGGATAGCGTAGGCCGTTCGCAAGCTGATTCGCCAGTAAGCTGGGTATTTGGTAGGCATTTGCATTTTTCGTTGGCATATCTTCGATGAGTACCCAAAATTTGTGTCGTGTCAGGCGACTGTCGACAATACCTTCGCCCATGCCACGATAATCATCGTAAAGTGTGCGCCGATCGAGCATCACTTCTAATTGACCCGGTTCATAGGAGGCGGCACCCTGCGCGTGTGTGGTGAGTAAAGTGAAGCGTACGCGCGCGTCTTGTATGAAGGCGCCACTTGTGATGGGGAAGTAGTTGCCTTCAATACCGATTGCCGGCACTTTAATGCGTCTATAATGGACGAAATTTATAATTTCAATACAAATTATGTATATAATGATTGAGAATATTTAAAGCGATGCTAAATCGATTTGAAAGCTGTTTTATAAAATTTTTTGGTAATTCTCTGTACTTACTTGTGATATTGGAAACCATTTTGATCACTATAGAACACCGGCAATTCCGCTACCGTATCCGCCTCCTTTAGCACATCATCGCGCTTTACCGTTATAATATTATCTACATCTGTGACGAAACGCATGAAAAGCTCAGTTTCACGATTCTTTGGCGGCGGTTCAAAGTCTACATCATTCTCAATGTACATGGCTCCATCTAGGTGAGTATGTGTGTTGAAAATGCGTACTGTATGCGCCAAAAATGGACCATAAATGACCGTAACATCACTGGCGATCGGACCCGATGAAATAATAATGCGCACATCTTCATACTGATCGAGTACATCTTTTTCGGCTTCATTTTGCTCGGGATCGGTTTTGAAAAGATAGGCGCCTGAGTGGAACTGTGCGCTACGGTAGGCGGCGAATTTTATAGCGCATTGCATAGGCCGAAGCGCTTGCTTATTAACGCTCTTACGCGTAATGGTTTTAAGGAAGCCGCTCTTCTCATCGAAGAGCAGACGCATGAAATTGTTTTCGAGTTGTATGTCACCTAAAAGAGATGAATAGACGTTGTTAAGTTATTTTTTTTTAGAAATGAACAGTTAGATTATACCTGATGGCTTGGCTTTCACCACAAAATTCGTGCTTATATTGGGTGGGTTCAACGTTGACCCCTCGGTACAGCCATCGCAATAAATAGTCGCCATTGTCGGTTGACTAAAGTTCTTTTCATCCACCACCACAAGGCTATAGGTTGCAAGTGAAAGCGCGTCCAATTCAGCAATAAACATTACTTCATATTGACGTGTAGAAACACGTATACGTCCCATAGCGCTATTAGCACCCACACCACCACCCATGCCCATCTCATAAACATCGGTTATATTCCAAACTGGATTGATTTGCATTAAACGTATCTCTTCGCCGCGCTCATTCAACACTTTAACATTGGGTACTGGCGAACGCAACGTTACCACTTCCAAACGTTTTTGCGCCAACGAATTGAAGATTACAAACGCAGCCGTGCCAGCATTTGCATTCAAATCATCAAACTCATCGACAATACCATTGCCACTGAGTGGTATGGGTGTCTTGCGCGCCAGCTTACTGAAATTATCACGTTCTAATTCGCTCAGCAGGAAATTATGACGTTCACTGCCATCTTGCAGCAACATTTCAATGGTGGACTCTTGCATTTTAACCGCATCTTGTATGCTTTCGAATAGACGCATGCCGTAATCACGCATTACAGCCGCCTTTGATGTGCCTGTGATGGCATCATGATGTTGGAAGAGTCCCAAATTGCGACGCGCATGTATCATTTTCTCATAATTTTTTTCGAAAATCTTTATGGCATTCACATGATGTACCTGACGTGCGGTATTGTAAGCTACGGTGAAGAGTATTTCAGCAGCGCGCAGATTATGCTCTAAATCGGCGCTAAGCAGCTTATAGAATGGACGTGTGGTATAGTAACCAGACCAATAAGCAGGCCGTCCTTCGGAGAAGATGTCTGAATATACAAAGAAATCACCTTTTAGGGTAGGGAAGGAGTTGGTGCGGCGACGAATTTCGTTGAAGTAGTCACGTGGTGTGCCTTTTGATGGAGAAAATAATTAAAATTAATAAAGTAATTAAATGTTTATTTACAAAGTAATTGTTGAATTATATAAACTAAATTTTGAATAACTAAAAACTCACCGAAAGAGATGTCAACATTATAGAGACGCTTATTAGCCATTATATGATCGATTAATTTCTTGTAATTCGTATATTGCTGATCCACTTCGCGCTCCTTATTATAACGGAAATCATCGCCGACTGGTATAAGCGCTACGTTGTGTGGAAATAGCGAGGCGGTACGTGAATATTGCTCCAACAAGACTTGCGCTTTCGATTCAACATTGTCATCGGTTATAAATTGCGCTTTGACCGAATATTCTGTATACTCGCCTGGTATTTTACGAAAGTCAAAATTTAGACATATAAACGGATGTGGACCACACGAACCCTTTATCGAGTAGATGTCAAAGGGCATATTGTGTGTGAGCAACTTTCCATGCTGCGTTGGCGCTTTGCCGCGTTGCTGCCAATAAGGTGTCCACATGAAGTCGCCTTTCTGTTGACGCGCAAACCATTGTTTCCAGGCATAGTGTATACGTTGTATTATGGCGCCTTCGAAGTTGCTGCCTGAAAGCAAATACGGCACAGTACTGCCATGTCCGAAGGGATCGATTGACCAGCCGACGGTTGGTGTTACATTCAAATTGTTGCGCAACCACTGATGTCCTTCGATAAGCTGATCTAACATGGCGTAAAGATGCACATTCGCTTCATCGGTCATCACCCAACCGCCGGTTGTGATTTCGAAACGTCCTGATTTGATAAGTTTTTTCAGAGCGCGCTGCTTTGTCGGATGCGCTTGATCCCACCACAGTTGTAGAAAGCTGATCTCGGACCAAATAAACGTCATGTCGGTATATTCCTGCATTTTTGTTACTATCAAGTTAAGTATCTGTCGCGAATCCGATTGGAAATAATTAACGAAAGTCTTCAACCAACCGGGATCGTTATGCGAATGTGGTACGACGAAGATCTGTATATGAAAACATAAATTAAGGAACCATATCGAGACATGTAAAACCTAACTTAACTTAAAAAGTTGCTGTAACCCAAAAGCTCTTACCTTCAATGGCGGTCGTTTGTAGTCTTTCTTTTGTGCTTCAAATCGTTCCTCAAAACCACGATCCCAATATTCCTTTGTGTGTATCCATTCAGGCTGCAAATTATAAAGTATGAATGTATAATAGTATTACGAAAGCTGTCTGTAGTATTAAAATGACATTCAAGCATGGTTCCAAGAGGATTTCCCTGTTTTGATACGCTTATGAATTCACGATAATCGATGTTTTGGAAATCAAACTGCACTCTATTTTCTGGATGAGACATCTACCTATTCCGGCTTGGTCCAATCATGCTAAATATATATCGTACATGCAAAGAGTACTCGTATGACCTTATCCAGTGTTTTTCTCAAACTTACTCATCTAACTCCTACGCGGTTCACCAGGTTATTTACGTTACTTTGAAGTTCCGTATTATATGGAAACTGTCAGTTCTGCGACATGGAGTCGGACACTCCAGATCACCTGATGTTAAGACTACTTAGCAAACTGTAGACAAAGGATCAAGATCCTTGGATCAATATATCCGAATAGGGATTACATTGCCGCAATAGCACCCAGCAGAATAATGGAATTTATCAGTATGCTGGGCCTATTGTAAACAGGGTCTGTTAACTGCTACAATAGTAGCTAGTGAAGCTTGCAACAAAAGGCAAGCGTACATATTTCCTTTGCAAAGTGAATCTAAAAAGAAATCAGCACAAAGCCAGCTCATTTGTAAGATTTTTTTCTTGTTGAAACCCCCAAAGTCTCTTCAATCGATACTCAAAAGTCAAAGGGAAATAAGAACCCTTGAACTGTAAATCTTGTTTTCTAGTACCGTAACTTCTTGATGAACATGATAAGGAACACTGCCAACACTATAAGTTTACATTCAAACAGAATTTGAGCCCAAGACTCAACGCACTGCACAATAGCAGCTGCAAATAACAAACCCAAATTAAATTTTCTTCATAAGACCGGTAACATGCGCGCTGGTCCCTCAATTTTAACTGTACATTAAATTTCCATGCGAATAGTAAACTTAAATGTAATTTATTACCTGGAAATCAAATTTCCCATACTCCTCGTTCGTTGTGATATTCGTGTCACTCTCATCCATCACATAGCAAACATCACCCCAATCAGGATTCTTGGTGGGCGCGCCATTTGCGGTCATGTCGCCGCCATCATATGCATCGACATCCAGTGTGGTTGGGCCTGCCGACAATTGCGCTGCGCTGGCGCCACTGCCACTCGCAAATTTCTGCATCCCACTCTGCTCTTCGCCATTGCCGCGCATATCTCTAACTTTAGCATTATGCATATTTGCTTTGTGCAATTGCTGTGGCAATGAATGCAAACTGGTCGCCACTATGCTGCCAAAACCGCTGCTCAGCGCAACAGTCGTGTCTTTGCCCGGCTGTAGCGTTTGGTCTTGTTGCTGCCCAATGGATATGTAGTAGAGGCAGATTAAGATCGTGATGAACGCGGACAGCAGGCCGAAACAACGCGCCGAGCCGCGTCGAAATAATTTAAATGTCATTTTGCGTGACGGCGCTTGTCAGTGGCTCTGCGGAGGTGCTGATGTGAGGCGGTGCGTTGCTGTAATGTTGTTTCTTTTTTTTTGGTCTGGTGGTTTTTTCTTTTTTGTTTTTTTTGCTTATTATTTTTTAGAGGCAAATAATGATAGTTCTTTTTTGTATTATTTTTGTATTTAAATTCTTACGTTCTTTTTTTATCAATATACTGTTTTTGTATATTATTTTCTCAATTTAATTCGATTGTATTCGATGTGCTCGCTTGTTTACAGTGTGCGCACACTGTGTTGTTACTCAATTGTCGCTGCCTGGAGCTGTGCAGTACGCTTCCCGTGCAGTTCAATTTAATTCGCTTGCCTAGCTGCTGCACTATATATTCGCCCTCAATAGATATACATATGCATGTATGTACCAGCGCGATAACTTGGTATAGGCTTGTTAACTGTCGAGTTCGTTGCGTCGTTTTGTATACTTTGATTGACATTGGATTTTCGATTTCGGTTGTGCGGTTGCCTTAGTTGCATAAAACACTCATTTCGCCCCCATTGCGGGGTGTGCGATTTCCTATTTACTATTTCCAATCCAATTCTAGCGCCACCACCGACATTGTTGCATATCAAAACTAATTTAGCAGCCGGACGTTTGCAAAGTTGGTGGCTATTCCGGATTGGCAGCGCGACGTTTATTCAATTGAACATTTGCAGTTGCAATTTCGTTTATGCCTGGTGTTTTCCGCTTGTCTATTGGTCTCATCTAAAAATCAACTTTAGCTACCGCAACATTTTGGTTGGTGAGAGGATTTATCTGGAAATTGAAAATGGAATGAGATGCTAAGTTCATATTTTGTTTGTCAATTATAAATAGCTATGTGTTAGAAAATGTCAGAATAACGGATGTAATGTATAAATTTTTATTACAAGAAAATTATATTTCGTCTAAATTGATTATCTAAAGACCAGGTTGAATAAATGTGTTAGAAATATTAAATTTCACATCATATATGTTACGGAAGGGCTTTATAAGAGTCGGCGTTGGAACCCTATAACGCCATAACTACTCGATAGCCAATGACGTTATCGAAAAATATGACACTTCACATCTAAATTGCCAAAATCGGGCCATAACCTTTTAAGCCACCAGATATCGACTTTGTGGACTCCAGCGCCTTTGGCTGACTTTTTACTGAACATATCTGTTGCACCGAAGCTATAATACCCTTCACAAGTGCAGTTTTTTAAAGCATAAAAAGGTATAAAAATATTCTTATCTTGATTTTGATCAGTTAGGTTGAATAGCTATAGTGGTCCGATTTAATCAATATGTTCGGAGACTTTTAACAAAAATTCATGCCAAATTTCGTATATACTTTGTCAAATAAAAAAGTTATGCATACAAGGACTTGAGTTTGATCGGTTAGTTTTGTGACAGCTATATGCTCTATAAGTCCAATCTGCACAATTTCTTCGAAGATTGTAGCGATGCTTTGGATAATTATCTATGTTATGCCAACTTTCGTGAAGATATCTCGACAAATAAACAAGTTTTCCGTACAAGCACTTGAGTTTAATCGGTTATATGTTATAGTTGTTCGAGATCAGCGGTTCCGAAAAATGAGCAGCTTCTTGGTGAGGAAAGGACGTAAGCAAAAATCCAGATAGGTAGGGACTAGTTTTCGTATATGCAGACGAACAGACAGACAGACACATATTATATGATTAAATCGACTCAGCTCGACACGCACACTTTATAGGGTCTCCGAAGTTTCATTTTGGGTATTACAAACATCGTGACTACATGGTTCCAGAGGTCTGGTGCCACAAGCGATACAGCGCATGAAATTATCACTCTGCTGAGACGAAAACGAAACATATTAAGAAATGGTTCATGTGACCTGAATGCGCTGAATTACATTTTGCGAAGGTGATACGAGTTGGCAATCAACATTCGGCCGTTCGTTATTGGCGCGATAAAGCTGGCTATGCTGGAAATAGTGTTATACAATCTAACCGACAGGGTGCAGAAGACACGCTACTGTTCCTTTATACCTAAAATTTGTTTTAAACACTAAATGTTCTAACATTTTTTAACTATTTAAGGAGGTTATCCCATGTAACGGTTTCAAAATATTGAGTTTTTTTTGTATAAATTAATTCTAGAGCATTCATAGAATATGCTGGTAAAGTAATTTTCTGAAATTGAATATTGTTAGAAAGTTACAGTAGTGAGAACGTTAGGTCTTTAAAGCGCGTGGCCTACACACTTGAATTTGCAAACGTGTTTTTCTTGAAACTACATTTTTTAAACCGGCGTCCAAGATTTCTCAAAAACGATTCTTTCGATTGCTTTAAAATCGTGGCTGTCGCCCGAACTAGGATTTTTGATAAAAAAAAAAAAGAAGACGCAAAAAATCACGAAATTTTGGCTTTTATTGTTTAAAAGCATTTGAAAAATTTTATTTTGAATATTTGCAAATGATTCTAGTTCCCGATATAGCAATCTATTTTTGATTTTAGGTTAGCTAGTCTGCTGGAATCATGGACACCATTTGTCTACCTTTTTTCAACATGGCTGCCATTGGAGTGATAAATCTCGCAATTGACAAATATTTTTACCTAAAAAATCACACGGAATGACCTTCTTAAGAAAATACCGACTATTTCATATCTGCTTTTGCTGATTTCTAAATGAAATAAAACCTTATATTGGTTAAGTGTCTTTATCCAGGTCAGATCAATCAGTACAGATATAATTAATATTAAACATAGAAAGATTTAAGTCTGAATATGTACGTTACATATGTACACAATTATTGATAAATTATACACAAGGCGTAACTAACTATGAATTAACTTTCGTTAGTCTCCTCTCTCTGTTAGTGGCATTGCGTGCAACAATAATACGCTGCACTTACACGGTTTTCTATGCACTTGCTGTTGCATTCGCTAGCAGTCTACTAGTGTTAAGTGTGTGAAAGTAAGCAACAGTTGCGCTTTTGTACCTTTTTACGCTGCGATTTCGTGCATGTTTTTATTTCGTGCTAGCGGAACGCAATGATTTACCATCAATTTGCAACACGAACACTGTTTTTACTATTTAATCGCCATATTTGCATTGTTCGTGATGCCCTATGATCATTTTTTTTGTTTTTTGTTTTTGCTTATGATATTAAAGCAAATTAAATGTTGACAATTTCTGCTTTTTCCATTTGCCTGCTACCGCTATTATTTAACACTTAATTACCACCATCTGCTGTGCAGTAGCAGCAGCGCTAAAGCTTTCTGTTGCTGTTTAATTGACGGTGGGCAAATAAATTCGCAGAAATGCAACAAAAACAAGCAAGAAAATGCAATAAAAACTGTCTCAACAATACACGCGATAATTTAATTTTAACGGCTTATTGTACCCATCGAGCCAACACACAAGCCGCACTGGAAAGCTCCGAACTGCCGCCAATCCATAAAAAGTTGTCCCTCGTGCGTTTTCTGGTCACAGCAGTCGGTTCGCCAGTTTGGTTGCTCGTGAATTAGACAGGATATGGTACATAAATAATAGTGAAATAGTAAAAGTGCGAAACTATCAATCGCTGATAAATGGAATTGCACTAAAATGACTCTTTAAAATGTCAAATTCGACTTTTTACGCTTCAGCATGGCTGTGTTGTTGGTGTGTTTGCATGTGTAAGTGCATTAGCTGAGGCAGCGCTGTAAGCAAACACGCAATGAATCGGCTGATCGGACGCCTGCCTGTTTTATCACTTGAGTGCCTTTATAGTCAAAATGTATGACCATAAAATTAATGGTTTTAAAAACGTGAATGGCAATTATTTTCTGCCATTCTTAGTTACTTTTACAGTGGTGGACACAGATAAATAACAAGAGTTTTTTGTTGTAGATATAAATGGCATATGTATGTATATCGCGGTATAAAGAAACCCAAGGGGAACATTATAATATTGAAATTTAAGATTTTTGAAGTGGCAACCCTATTCGAAAAATATAGCCAATTAAATATTTTTTCAGTACGCGGCTTATATTTAAATCTTTTAGAAGGTGGATTTTATTTTATTTAACTCACGTGCATATTTAACAAGCTTTCTATAAGACAATAAATAGCAAGAAAAAAACGGAACTTCGGTTGAACCAAAATTATAATACCCTTCACAGTTGTATAAAAATATGTATTAAATTATCTTTCTCCTCATTTTGATCGGTCAGCTTGTATGTCATCTATATGCTATAGTAGTCCAATCTGAACAATTTTTCGGAAGTTATACCGTTGTCTTAGGGAATTACCTACAGTTAGAATTTTCAAAAAATCTATTTGTTTAAATTTTTTTTCTTAATGTACAGATGTAAATGTATTTTGCTTATTCCTTTGCTTAATTACTAGGTTTAACATTACTTTAACGAAATCTGTTTGGTTTTTTAATTTCAGATGATCCAGTTCAGAGATATAGTGGTCATGGCAAAACGTCTTTTTTGAAAGGATAAATATTTTTGCTAGTGTTAAGTCTTAAAATATAGTTAAAAGATACCATAATATGTGTATAATTTTTGGATAAATATATTCAAAAGTTTTCTCAGAAAAACTTCTGGAAAATTCACTTTTTTCGGCCTTCTAACTGTATATAACGCCTTAGACAACAATGTATGCCAAAGTTCTTGAAGATATCTCGTCAAATATAAGTTTTCGATACAAGGACTTGAGTTTGATTGGCCAGTTTGAAAAGTGATCCGATCTGAACATTTTGTTCGAAAATTGTAGCGATGCCTGTGCCAATAACCCATGCCAAATTTTGTGAATATATCTTGTCAAATAAAAAAGTTTCCCCTACAAGAACTTTATTTTGATCGTTCAGTTTGTATGGCTTCCTGAGGGGATATGCACAAAATTTTAGACCGATATTTCAAAAACTGAGGGACTAGTTTGGGTATTAACAAGACAAGACAGACGGACATGGTTAAATCGGTGCAGCTCGTTTCCAGGATCATTTATATGCAATATATACTTTATAGGATCTCCGACGTTTCCTTCTGAGTGTTACAAATTTCGTGCTAAACTTAATATGCTCTGTTCAAGGTATAAAAACTTCATAGATAAAAAAAAAAAATAATATATATCGTGACTCTTAAGTGCATACTCCCGATACTTTTGCAAAATCGTTCCTTCATCACATAGGAAGCTGGTAAAAAAGCGAATTCGCAGAACTTTGCAAAAGCTGAAACCAAAAAGTAGTGCTTGGAATCCATATTTTTTATTAGAACGTTAATTTTGGTTTTTGACGAACAAATATAGAAATTGTATGCTGAGATCTTTGAAGCAGGATTTTTAAATTATGAACATATTAGAAATATGTTAGCATTGTTTCTAATAATATTCTACAAATATTGTCAATTATTTTTTCTATTCGGCGCTTCGAATTTTTAATTCCCAGAATGTGATCTTTCTATAGCTTCCCATTATTTGCGACCGCCAGTGTAACAGTGCTATCATTGCTTTATTCAGCCTAATGCCGGTTGTAGTTCTTTTTCGACAATCAATGTGGTTGCGTGCTTTTATAGTATTTTCCTCTCCCACGGTATGCTACGTTGGCTCTCGGCTTTTTATAGCCGACTGCGAATTAAGTTGTTATGTATTGTTTGTTTTAATTTCAAATTGTAAATAAACACAAAAACCAAAAAAGTTACTTATCTATGATCATTAAATGGTTATGTGGTGATATGCGATGTGATATAGAATTTTATGGTAAAACCACTATGAGGTGCTTAATTATGTTTATGTCCGTACATAAGTGCAGCAGGAAA